ACTGTCCACAACACGACCCACCTTCGTATCGTCCGCGAACTTGCTAATCCACCCTTCCACTCCTGCATCCAAATCATTTACATACATCACAAATAGAAGAGGACCCAGGACAGATCCTTGTGATACACCACTCGTAACTGAGCACCATCTTGAATATTTTCCGTTCCGTCCACTACCACCCTTTGTCTTCTAAGGGTCAGCCAATTCTGAATCCAATCTGCCACATTTCCCCCTATCCCATGCCTCCTTACCTTCTGCATGAGCCTACCATGGGGAACCTTATCAAACGCCTTACTTAAATCCATGTATACCACATCCACTGCTCTACCTTCATCCACGTGTTTGGTCACCTCTTCAAAGAATTCAATAAGGTTTGTGAGGCATGATGGACCCCTCACAAATCCATGCTGACTATCACGAATCAAACTGTGCCTTTCCAAGTGATCACAAATCCTATCTCTCAGAGCCCTTTCCAATAATTTGCCCACCACTGATGTAAGACTAACTGGCCTGTAATTTCCAGGGTTATCCCTATTCCCTTTTTTGAACAGGGGAGTGACGTTTGCTTCTCTCCAATCTTCCGGCAATATACCCGTGGACAGTGAGGACGAAAAGAGGATCACCAAAGGCCCTACAATCTCTTCCCATGCTTCCCATAGAATCCTTGGATAAATCCCATCAGGCCCGGGGGACTTATCTATCTTCAACTTCCTCAAAATTCCTCGTACATCTTCCTTACTAACATCGACCTCCTCTAGCCTACTAGCCTGTTTCACACTGTCCTCCTCGTTATTCTCTGATTTCTCACGTAAGTGTAGAAAGCCTTGGAGTTTTCCTTGATCCTATCTGCCAAAGTTTTCTCATGCCCTCTTTATAGCTCTCCTAAGCTTTTTCTTCAGCTCCTTCCTGGATAACTTGTATCCCTCTAGAGCCTTTTCCGTTCCTTGTTTCCTAAACCTTACATAAGCATCCTTCTTCCTCTTAACCAGTCGTTCAACCTCTCTAGAGAACCAAGGCTCCCTCACTCGACCGCATCTTCCCTGCCTACTAGGGACAAACATATCGAGCACACGCAGTATGCATTCCTTAAACAATCTCCACATTTCAATAGTGCTCTTCCCTAACAGCATCTGTTCCCAATTTATGTTACCCAGTTCTTGCCTAACAGAATTGTAATTACCCTTCCCCCAATTATAAACCTTACCCTGCTGTATGTACCTATCCTTTTCCATGACTATTGTAAAAGTAACAGAGTTATGATCGCTACCGCCAAAATGCTCTCCTCCCAACAGGTCTAACACTTGGCCCGGTTCGTTGCCAAGCACCAAATCGAAAGTGACCTCTCCTCGTGTTGGTCTATCTACATAATGTGTCAGGAATCCTTCCTGAACCCACTGGACAAAATCCGCTCCATCTAAACTGTTACAACTAAAATGGTTCCAATCAATATTTGGAAATTAAAAATTTCCAATGTCACCCATGACTACAACCCTGTGACTTTTCACCTTTCCAGTATCTGCCTCCCAATCCGCTCCTCCACTTCTCTGCAACTATTAGGGGGGCTGTAAAAAAACCCCAACAAAGTGACTGCTCCTTTCTTGTTCCTGACCTCAACCCGAACTGACTCTGTCGACGTATCATTCTCGAACTGCCTTTCAGTAGCTGCTATGCTAGCCCTGACTAGCAATGCCACTCCCCCACCTCTTTTTCCACTCTCCCTATTTCTTTTAAAGCATCTAAATCCCGGAACTTCCAACAACATTCCTCTCCCTGAGTTACCCAAGTTTCTGTAATGGCCACAACATCGTAGTTTAGTTTGGGAAACATAGTCGGCATGGATGAGCTGAACTGAAGGACCTGTTTCAGTGCTTTATGACTCTATTATGACTCTCACAAATTTCAATGAGCACCTTTTATTGTTTTCTTTCTGGACATTTGTATATCATTTCACAGCTATGACCATTTTCAATATTTGACTGAGTTTCAAGTTCTAATGGATTCCAGAACAGCTAGCATTTCATCCGTGTGAGGATGAATGACAGTTTCAGGAAACTCTAACAACAGAATGTTCTTTTTCCTTTTTAAGAAAAAAAAGCAAAATAACAGATTGCAAGCGTTGCAAGCTTGTTTGAGAGTAAGTTGCATGGTCAAAGTGAGGGAGACTTGGTCAGAATGATTAAGACAGTAAGTAAGTAATTAATAATTAAGTAACTGAGAATTTAGGTAAAACTGAGAACTCACAGCAGAGGGAGTAAGTGCTGTTTTAATTGAGGCTTACTCCATGAAATAAATTTTCCAGAGTGGGAGGTGAACAGGAAAGGAAGCTCAGGCATGGATCAAGGGGCCTTGCTGCCCTGAGAACAATGGTGCATGACATCTCATGTGCAGGGAAAGCAGTTGATTGGCGAGTAGGTTTTATTTCTAAACTTTGAAATGGAAGATGCATTTTAATTTGTTTAGATCTCCAGAATTTTTTCTCTTTTTCTGAGAAATAACTTGTTAAGTTTTCATAATACATGTACTTACTTCAAGGGTAATACATAGTTTTTTTAGAGTTGCAGGAGAGCAAGTCAAAAAGGCCAAGTGGCGTGTATGTACTGCAGTACGCGAGGCATCATGGACAGTCCAGGTGTTCCATATGAACACACCTGCAAGAGGTGTCACCAGTTGCACAAGGTTGAGTCCCAGGTTTCAGAATGTGATCAGCGACTGATACCATAGTTGTGCATCCTACAGGCAGAGAACTACCTGGACCGTCTCAAAAGTGCACAGGTCAGGATTCCCAGTCCAGAGGAAGGTCAGGTCCTAGCAACACACCACATGGAGAGGTGTAAAATTACTGACAGCAATTTACAGCTGCTGTCAGTTTCACAGCAATTACTGACAACAGATGTTGATGATTTTACCATTATTACAGCTGCAAAATCCAGGCTATAGTAATTGAATAAGTCAAAGTACACCAACCAAGAGTCTCTGTACTGACATTTCACAACTGTCCATATTTTTTGTGAAAATCGTGAACGTGTCCTAAATTAATACACATTTCTTACATACCTTTTAATTTCTTTTTGTTAAAAACCTGAATGGATGGGAAGGTGATCTGCACCAGATGGCAAGTTGGATGCAACATTTGCAACTTGTTAAAGATCTAGGAAGGTTAAGTTGTAAACTTTAACATCAATCCTAGCTTTAGCGTAGCTCTGGAGAATGCTGCATTGTACAGCGGGAATGTGAGTTTAGAAACTTTGGGAAAAGGGAAATTGTTCACTCAGAGATTCATAATATGGTGCAGAATGGCTTGATATATGATAACATGGTGTTAGAAGAAAACAAATTTCTGGGATTTATCCCTGTACCTCCTGATGGATTCCAGAAACAGTAATATTATGCACGATGCTCAGTCGTGGAGCACGGGAGTGAGGTATTTTTGAAAATATTAATGAGGCTTTTGAAAACACTTACAAAAAGGATTGTTTCCTGATCACTACTACAAACTTTGTATTCTTTCTAGATTGATGAAATTCCTTTTTTTTTTTAAGAATGAACATCTTTCCTCTTTATTAAGGAGACCAAAGTTTGCTATCCTTGACCACAGGATTAGGTCAATGTGGGTTTAAGCAGCAGTAAGGGCTGGTGCTTAATGCAAGAAACTTCATAGCTGTATGGAAGGTGATATAATGTTACAGTGAAACAAACTTTGAAGTTAAAAAATACATATGCAAACACAAATCGTAAAAACAGAACAAGAAAAATAGTTCCAAAAAAATGCTGTAAGGTTCAAGGTGTGAGGAAAAAAGAGATACTGGGGAATAAGGTTTTTAAAAATATCAGAAAACACATGTACCATACAATGTATTGTCAGGGCATTGCAAAGGTTGGAAAGGTATTCCAGGTCCAGCAAAACTAGTTTGAGAGCTTTTCTTAAGGTCATCTTTGAAAAGATTGAATTCAGTGCTTTGTATTTCAGAGTTGAAAGATGTGTCCTGTACTGTTAAGGGATGTGTACAGTCAGTTCTGCTGTTTCTTCAAAGCAAATTGGCTTTAATGCGATTGAAGAATTTAGACCACTATTTGTAGAACACAAACTTTCCTTATCTGTATTGGCTATAATGTGATTCTGAAGGACAAGGGCAGCAGATACATGGGAACACCACCACCTGCAAGTTCCCCTCCAAGTCAATCACCATCCTGACTTGGAAATATATCGCCATTCCTTCACTGTCATTGGGTCAAAATCCTGGAACTCCCTTCCCCACAGTATTGTGGCGACTTCTACGTCCAAAGAGCTGCAGCAATTCATTACTGCCTTCTCCAGGACTGTGAGAGGTGGATAATAAACGCTAGCCTAGCCAGTTAAATACACATCCCTTAACAACAGAGGACATATCCTTCAACTCTGAAATGTACTTTGGGGAATCCTCCAAGCTTTGCTTGCTCAGTACGCTTTTGCTAACTTTTCAGGTAAATAGTCCATATAAAGTCCAAACTTGAAGGAAGGGTCAGGCTTAGAAGTAAAAATGTGAAAGGATGGAGTAAAAGACACAGAAAAATTGAATTAATGATTTTATTGTGGAGTTTGTAATTTTTCTGAATTTTATCTAAAATCTGACTTTCGAAATCTCAATTATGCAGAAGTGAACTTTTTCTCAAAAAAGTATTTTAAATTCCTTGGTAGTTTATTGGTAAACAGTGAAAGTTGATTATTTATGTGGAGAAATACAATCATAAAGTATTTACATTGATATCTTCAGTGTTAAACATTGACAAAATTAATTGTTCTAAATGGTGCCAAAAGGATATTAGGTTTATAGACAGGACACGTGGAAGATTTTTGAATAATATATGTATACATTAATGCTTTATTAATGATAAAGAAGGGAAGGGGGAATTCATTTCCTGAATGATGCTGGATTAAACTACATTTTTTTAATTTAAGAAAAATCAATGACCCACAAAATCCTACAAAGTTTTCATTCATTTTTTATATCTATTTCACTTACATCTCATGAAGACCAGATGAGTAATAGGACAGACTAGGGCTCGGTGAATGGGCTTGCTGGAGCTGGGCCTTTGCAAATCGAGGAGGAACCGGTGGGCTTGGGGTAGGAACACCTTTAGCATCCCTTGGAGGAATAGGAGGAGCATTTAGAAGACGGCATTCCTCCTTCACCTAACAAAAGAAAACAGTGAAACATGGTGTTTGTCAAGATTTAAACATAGTACAGACCAAGCTTCTATTGATCTGTGTTTGAATGTAACTATTTTGCTAATTCTGTTAATTCTAATGAAATCAGAAGTCATCACGAAGGCAGTCAGACCATTTCAGCTGACTTGACACATTCTGCCTGTCAAATTAATAGCAATAGTTTGTAGGAACATGAGTAAGCCATTCAGCTGTTCAGACATGCTCTGCCATTTTAGATCAGGACTTCAGTGATATATTTCTTCACTATCCCCATATCCAATGATAAGGAACCGCTTGTGCTGCAGAGATGGTTTAAAACTCAGAGCTTTAACATACCATGTCAAAAAGATGTCATTAATGAAGGATCGATCACTTCTAATAATAACTTATGTTTGAAAATACAAATCAGCCAAGATGATAAAACTTGCAATATTCATAACTTGCAATAAACAGGAATGCAAATCACTGAATCCAAGCTGTTGACTGACATAGCATTCATGGTCAGTTACTGCTACCAATAAAACAAATCAACATTTTAGAATCATAGAATCCCTACAGTGTGGAAACAGGCCATTTGGCCCAACAGATCCACACCACCCCTCTGAAGAACATCCCACCCAGACCCATTCTCCTAATCCCACAGTTCCCATGTCTAACCCACATAATCTAAGCATCCTTAGGCACAATGGGCAATTTAACACAGCCAATCCACCTACCCTGCACATCTTTGGATTGTGAGAGGAAACTGGGAGGAAACCCACACTGACGCAGGGAAAATGTGCAAACTCCACACAGACAGTCGCCAGAGGCTGGAATTGAACCTGGGTCTCTAATGCTGTGAGGCAGCAGTGCTAACCACTTAGCCACCATGCCATTGACTAATTAGCTATTCTCAAGTAGAACTTGAACAATCTATATGATTTTCTGAAATAAATGTGCTAAAAACTACATCACTGCAGATCCCTAAATTGGGATCATATGAGAGTTATTTATGGATGATGCTAACTTACGAGGCACTAATTGGCTGGGTATTAAACCAAAGAAAGCTTTCAAAGAGTGTGTACTTTTGAATGGATTCAAGGGACAGCTAATTAAGCAGCTGAGGGAGAAAGAAATAGAAGGTTATGTTTGACAGAGTGAGATCAAGTAAATTTGTGAGGAGACTTAATTGGAACACAGCACTGACATGGATGCGTTAGGTTGAGTGGCCTTTTTCTGTGCTGGAGAATTTTATACACTTCCATGAAATCAAGTAGAGTTCAAAGTGACAGCTCCAGTGCCAGTGCCAGTGCCAACCCAGCTGTGTAAAACAGACCACATTACAGCTAAGGAAGGAAGAAGACCCTATTTGTTGAATGAGTAGTTGTTGTAAGGATGGTAATTACTTATATCTAAGTATATGACATGAAAATAACAATTGCAATATTCTATTCAGAATGCTGTGTCATCAATCCTGTCATGAAATGATTATCCTTTGTCCAAATCACACTGTATCCATTTTGCCCCTCCCCATTGGTGCAAACTAACCTCTTCCTGGCCTGCCACCTCTTCTCCAGCAATTCCCTCCCAACAAGAATCAAGCCTGTCAATTAGGCTGGCTCTCACACAGGGAACCCCTTTCAAAAAAAAACTTACACAGCATTGGGTTAAAACTCTATGAATATAGTTGAACGCCAGACATGAATTTCTCACCTGGGTTTGGAATTCCCACTCCAGCAAGTATTAGGGCCAACATTTCTGTGCAATAAAAGCTATAATTAAAAACATTAGGAGTAGTTGAGGACTCTGGGGTCTATTTTCCATGGAGTTTAAAAATATTCGGGCTGGTCTCATTGGAAACTTCAGAATACTGAGATGCCTGGATAGAATGAGCATGGAGATGACTTTTTCCACTCATAGCAGAGACTAAAACCCGAGGTCACAGCCTCAGAAGGAAGGCAAGACTCTCTAAGAATGAGGAGTTTCTTTAGCCAGAGGGTGGCAAATCTATGGAATTCACTTCCACATAATTGACTGTCTTTAAGACACAGATAGATAGTTATTGATTAGTAAGGGGATAAAATATTAACGTTAAATGATCGAATGGCGGAGCAGACTCGATGGGCTGAATGGCCTAGTTCTACTTACTGAAATTAGTCATCTCTTGCCTTTGAACCTCAAATGCAACACAGTCACTTTTTAATGTGACTTTGAGAAAGGTCTTCATGTCTTCCCAGAGCTTCCTGACTGGCTAACGCTGAGTCAGAGATTAGTTCTTCTTCCCTCTCTAAAGCCAAGTTGGTGTTCCATAGCTATTATACATTGTATAGCAGGTGACCGCAGGGGTAACATGACTGCCCAAAGGGATGAGCACACTTTGCTCTCCCTTATGTCTTCTTTGAATGTCCTCTTGGGGAAGGGGGATGGAAGGAAATTGTGAAGTAGGCTGGAAAAGTAATGGTAAGAAAAGCTGCCTGATTGTGAAAAATAATGATTTCAGATAGTAGGACTAAGTTTGATTCAGTAAAAGATATAGGATAGATTTGCATTTGCCATTTGGGGATAAAACCAGTACTGCAAACCAGTTAACTCTTCACAAAGCTCACCTAATTTTAATGTCCACTGAAATTACACAATGCCCATATCAGTCTGGACTCTTATGTTGAAATCCACCCTAATATTTCCAATTAAGATTTGAAGTCCCAATATTTTTTAAATAGTTTTGAGCCAAATTCTGTAGGTTTGCAGCATTTCCTGGTAGTGAGTACAGGTTATGGGAGTAATAAATTATTTTGATAAATTTGGCATGATTAACAAGATAAGTGCAATTCATACATACCTGTCCTCTGATTACTTGTCCTTGCGACAGGATGTTATAGTTTGTCCTCTACTTTGAGGCATTGACTGTTCAATTACATACAGACATATCAATGCACAGCGTGTTTTCTGATTGTTACCTGCATTTCCAGTGCATGTCTTAATGGAATCACCCCTAGCATCAATAGTGCATGAACTAAAGCAATGGTGCAGACCTGGTTCAAATTTTGTTGGGTTTAGGTCAGTGACTCTGCTCCTGCTTGCCATTAGCAAGACAAAAACCTTCATAGGATACTTCCACTTGCTGTAATCCATAGCATTGCTGAAGTATGTCTCTCATATTCCTGTTTTTGATGGGAGTTGCATTGTATATACTAAATGCTGAATATATAACCTATTGTAGGGGTCTTCTCATTATTCAAGTTTGAGTAAACTGGTAGAACAAAATTTTTGTACCCTCTATTTATGAGACCTACTATAACAATTGACAGAAGTTCCTTCATTTATCTCAGCTTTGTACTAAACGATAAAAGCATGAACCCCAGGTAAAACCTACTCACCTACTTCAAATAAGGAAACAATAATCTGGAAAATAATAACCTTATGTCCTACTCTGTACACTGACATTTTTAAATCCCCTGCAAAAAATATTCCATCCTCATCAATTTGTGCTACTAGTGTTTGGTGTCTGACTAAGAGAGATCAGAAAGTGAATCAAGGTTACAATGCTTGGGAATTATTTGTACACATATGAAAATGTTAATACCTTTACTAATGAGTGAATAGATATTTGAACCATTGGTGCAACTAGGAAATGCAAGCAAGTCTAAGAGGAGATTACAGCCACTTATGGTCTTTTTTGGCAAGAGACTAAAATTACTTTCCGTTTCTTGTTACCGGCATTAAAAACAATTAAAGTGGCATAAATTATTTAGCATGCCGGAAACAGAAAGCAATTTTTCAGCGGGTACAGATGGTCCTGCCTTACAGGAAAAGATAGCTGCAAGTTAAGCACTTCCCACAGGAGCAGTTTCTGTACCCACAACAATTAACTGGTAGGCCTAAATGTTGGACATGACCAAAATGCTTAAGCCTTGTACTCCTTAAATAACATTGTCCTGCATCTCTGTCTGTCAATCATTTATGAAGGTAAATATTTCCACAGACAAGTATTCACCTTCTTTAGCAGTTTGTGGTGAAGCTTCAAATATACTCCATCCAAACTAACACCAAAGCAAAATACTGCAGATGGCAGATAAAATCAAACTAAATGGTCATTGACTCGAAACATTAATTCTTTCTTCTTCCACCTGACCTACCAAGAATTTCCTGCATTTTCCGTTTCATTCCACGTGATCTATTTTGATTACACCAAATTTTGCACTGTTCAGTAGCTCACTTAAGAAATCAAGTCTTCCTCCACCAGTCAGACAAGAGATTGGGAAAACCAGATATAGTTGTGTCCAGAAGTTGCACCTACCTATATTCTTAAAAGTACATAAAAGATTGACTGAGTTCTAAACAAAAACAAAATATAAGTTTAAGTGTTAGAATGCCAAAGCATGTCATTTGTAGTTTAAAAACTATTAAATAGCATTTTCTGCATGTTGGGTTGCTGGCAACTTGGTAATATGGCATTGCAATAGTTTAAGTCTCAACCCATTCCCAATCAGCTTCTGTTTCTTTAGGTCAATAACCAAATTATAACCAAAGTTGTCTATGTTCCACATCTTAAAATGGTGAACTAAGTGCTTCTTGTTCTGCAATATTTCAAGTAACATTCAGCATTCTGACAAGAAAGGGAAGAAAAAAAATGGCCACTCTAAACTAATTTTTATCTTTATCAACACTGCTGGTAAAGATTTGGGAGCAGGCAACCCGCCTATATTCTTTGGAACTGTGGGGCAACATAGCTCAAAAAATAGTCCAAATATTCCGAGATCTATTTTTCGAAGGGTTAAATCTTTGACAGATTTATCTATTTAACTTAAATAAATTCATTGCCTAAAGCTTTCCATGAAGAACACCCCACATCATAACGAGGTTGAGACAGTCATGTTTTCCTCTGTATTCTACAAGAATCTAACCTTCTCCTATACCACCAGGTAGCATCACTAAGATGATATACCACACTAGTAGCTAAATAAGAAACAATATACTTTCATACAGGCAAAATTATTTGCAAGGTC